ACTAATCAAGATTGGGAAGTGCAGGGGGAGAGAGGAGTTCCAGGGGAGGAATGAATTCCCCCTTGGCTATGCCTAGTTTGAGTGCACCCAGGGACACATGTGCACACTCCACATGCATTTTGGAAAGACTGGTCTGGAGCCACCAAGACAGATGTGAATCTGGAAGTAATGAGCACAGCTGAAGGAGAGCTATGGAAAGACGAGATGTAGGGCGGAATCCTAAAGACCTGCAAAGGACACATCCAAGGCCAAGTACCAAGAGAAACAGAGGATCAATCTTCTAAGAAGTGTAACAAATGAGCAGAACTGGGGGTTGGGAGGTCAAGAAGCAGAGGTTGCTGTCTCATGTCATAGGACAGAAAGTCCAAAGTCAGTCATCTGATTTGGCATCGCAACTTTATTGATGACCTTAGTGACAGTCAAGAGGTATAAAGCAGCATTTTATAGACCGACAGACTAAGTCTCAGTGCTTAAGTGACCCATCTAAAGTCATGAAGCTTAAGACATACATTTATCCAGTAACTACCAGATAACTGTACAGGAGATATGACTATGTGGTTATAAAATAACAAGGGGAGGAAGTCACAGACACAAAACTGGAGTACAACTTATTAAATGTTAGCTAAGGCAAAGACCCAGGAGCAACCCAGAGGAAAAGCAGCTAATTCCCTAACAGGAAGCGAGTTGGTGGTGGGGAGGGGGGGAGGGAGGCCTCCCAAAAGCATACCTGGCAGTGGGCTTTATAACTGAGCTATGAAGGATAAGGACAGTCAGACCATGGCAGAGGCTATAGGAAGTGGGAGCAGCATCAATCATATCAGCAAAAAATTCTGTAAGTAATTCAAATGGGGAAAGTCAAAACTGTGACATCACCAGAAAAGATGGGAAGATATACACACCCAGACATTCAAATAACTGTTCTGAAAGGTCATCAATGCGAAACCTTCCCAAACAAAAGTATCTTAATAATGGGTGGGGAACGCCTGGGGAGGCAAATGCACACAGGAGAGAGAGAAACAGTGAGAAAGAACACAGGAGTGTGCCTCTAAAAATTGAAAGGGAAGTTTTTTGCCCTGAAGACTAACACAAAAGTACGGCTTGTGTGTGTGTGTGTGTGTGTGTGTGTGTGTATGTATAAATTTATAATAAACAACTGTTATTACATTTCACGAAATCTAAGTTACCCTCAATGCTCATGTGAGATCAGCCTCTGGGCTCTCCATCTTACAGAGTTTTCCTTTTAGCTCCAAAGTTTAACCTGACCTAACCATTTTCTTATTTCTACTAAGAGTGCTTACACTTTAAAGTGTGGCTGAGAAAATGTAAAAATGTTACAAATTCACATGCTGTCTCAATAAATTGTATATTTTCTCTGCATTTTTATGCTTAATCTCTCTCACAGGAACATGAGAAGGGAATTTCTGGAACATTCAAAATCCCTATCAAACCATACACTTATAGAAAATTGAGCCATTTTTTGACCATATTGAAAGTATATGAATGTTCAATATGATAGCCTCTAGCCACAGGCCCAACAACTGTCACATATGACCAACAAGAGCTTGTAAATTACCTCTACGTCAGAATGAAGCATTCTACAAGAGGCCAAAAATTAATGTAATTTAAACCAGAAAAGCTTTAAGTTTCAAGATAGCTCAAAGTGATTACAGTCTTCAACAAATCAATAAAAGCAGCCAAAAAAAATCCATTGTTATATCCACATCTCTACTGATGGAATATGAAATATGTTCTAATATTATCTTTTTAATAATATAAATGGATTTTGGATAACCTACTTACACTTTTAACTACTCTCTCCCAAGATGAATTGTGAATGGCCAGTCTTTGTGAGTGTGAGGCCCTGCTTTGATGGGAAGAGAGTGGGGAGGCATGAACCTAATCCCAAAGATCAAATTGCATATCAAAGTTTAAAATGCATACCATACTATACACTCTGATTATTAAGCAATTTTCTAAACAGATCTGCACTGTTCAATATAAGAGCCACTAGCCATTTGGGGCCATGAGCACTTGTATGTGACTATAACCAATACAGGTGTGTTTTAAATGCTAAATACAAAATAGACTTGGAAAAAATAGTATAGTCACACAGAACAACCTTCAGTTTCAAGGGCCCTGTGCTGGAATCTATCTAAGTATAGCTGTGTAATAATCACTCAGACAGCTAGTTAGAAATAGATTCTTGGATACTAGCTCCAAAACTTTTTATTCTCCAAGTTTGAAATGGGAGTTGGGATTCTTTGTAAATTTCCCAGGCAAAACTCTGTGTAGCTATGTTTAGAAAACAAGTGTCCTCATCAACAAAGCTCTTGGCCACAAACCAACCTCAAAGTCCGTCAACTAGAGAGGAAAGGGCCCAAAGGCAAAGGAAAGAACCATTTTAAAAATCTTTAAAATACAAATTAAACAGAAATAATACGCTATTATACACCCACCAGATTGCCAAAATTTTTAAATCTCACAATACCAAGACAGACTATGATGTAGAGCAATGAGATTTCTCACACACAGCCAAACACTACTTTAAAGAAAACCTCAGTATTTTCTTACAGGATTGAAAATAGTCCTATCCATGACCAACCACTCCAATACCCACATGTCTAACATGGGGTATGAGTTACATGTACAAGAATATTCAACACAACGTTGTTCATCATAGCCAAATGAGAAAAAAAAATTAACAGCAAAATGGCTATATAGTTGTATATCCACACAGTAAGAAACTACACAGAAAAATGAAAATGAAAGAACTCTAACTTTTACAAAAATATGAACTGAATTCAACACAATGTTGTGCAGAAGAAACCATACATCTCTTGAATCAATTCAGAAGAATACCATTATAAATCTTTTTCACAGAAGTTCCATAAAGCAAGTCATAAACCATTTGTCTAGGAATACCTACAACATTGATAAAATTATAAAGAACATGAAAGTAATTACCATGGAAGTCACTAGAATATTGCCTATGAAAGGAGAGAACGGGTTACAATAGTGACAGACAGAGAACTTTTGTGGGCTGGTAATATTCTACTTTTTTGCCCAGGGTGGTCACACAGATACTGGCTTTTTAGTTTTCATTAAATATTATGTATTAGTTATAGTAACACTAGGTACTACAATAAATGGACTCAAAAAATATTTAATGGCTCTAATAAAAACAGAGGTTTACATAACTGTCCAAAGCAGATACCTCTCTCTCAAAGAGCTTCACTTGAATAAATGGAAAAGCACACCATTCTTGGATAGAAAAACTTAGAATCATACAGATGTTCATTTCTCCTTATTTTAATTATTAAATCCATGCAATAAAAATGTCAATAGGTTTTTTCAAAACAAAATTATTTTAAAAATTAATAGAGAACTATAAACATGTGAGACAGCCAAGAAATTTGCAATGCGGGTGGATTGATTGCCCTTTCAGAGACTAGAACCAATTTTTTTAAAAAGCTAGAATGATGAGCAGATAAACAGATCAATAAAATGTAACTGGAATTCCCAAGATAGATCCAAACACATAATGGGTATTCAGAATATGATAAACGTAGTATCTGAAGTGTTTTGAGTGTAACACAAAATTTGAAAGCAATTTTTAAAACTAGATATAATTCCATTACATCAATATAAAAATTCCCTCATGGCAAAACACGATAAGCAAAGTCAAAGGACAAGCAAACTTAAAAGCAACAGTGTAAGTCAAATCGCCAGGGGCTAATTCCCTTAATATATCTAAAGCTCCTACATATCAATAATAAAACAGTAACCATATAGCACAGAAACAGGCAGCATATAGGAACAGTGAACTCTCAGAATAAGAATTACAAATGACTCATTCACATGTGAAAAGATGCCCAAACTCTGTAAGAGAAATTTAAGTTAAAAATCAGAAGAAAATAACATTTTCACCAATCAGATAAACTCTAGTAGCACTCTGTACTGTTGAGTGTATAAGTTAACAGACACACTAAAACCTTGCTGGTGGAAGTCAACACCAATAAAATGTTAATGGAGAACAATTTGGAAATGTGGGAGGTGATGTGTTTACATGTACTTATTATGTACTTCAGCACTGATATAATAGCAAAAGTGGTGGGGACTCTACAGCCATCACAGAGAATGAGGCAGTCCCGTAAGTACCAAGATGAAGTGATCTTTTAGATACCCAGAGCAGCACATCATTTTCCTTGTTGGCTTCTCTACTGGTAGAGTCATCTTTGGTAAAGTAAGGCAGAACATCTAACTGAAGAATATGACCTCCCACAAATACTGAAGAAGAATTCAAAGCTACCAATTGGGGAAAGAGCTTTTTATAAAACAGTGTAAAAAAATCTACAAATTGCCTATAGAAAACATAAAATCCTGCAGAAAATTCTAACTGAAACCATCGAAAACTGAATTCTTCACTGCACTTGCATGCTACCCTGTCTCCTGATCATCCTACCAAATCTGCCTTTCCTCCTAGATCTCCTGTTTCACTTAATGCTGTCACTTCCACCCAGGTCCTCAAGCTACAAAGAAGAACCTTCATTCATACTTTCTGGGTTCCCAAAATTTTTCAAATAATTTCTCTAAGTGCTTATATTCAATTGTCACTGGCCTATAAGGTTGACTTTTCTTTTAGATTGTGAGCTTCTTAAGGCTTGAGACCAGCTTCATGCATCCAAGCCTTTCTACCAATCCCTGAGTGGAAGACCTGGCTCCACATGTGCTTTTCATTCACTGGAAGAAAAAATGGGGAAGGGGAGAATCATGCCTCAACAGTTTGCTTAAAGTCAAGGAGAGCAGACTAATAAACAGTTTATATTTATCTTCTACCTTTCCTCTATTAATTGCTACAACTAAACTCTAACTACAAATGTAAAATAAATACAAGAAGCATAAGGACATCTTATTCAACATTCAGTAAGTACTTCCTGTGTAAGTACAATGGATGAACACAAACATGGTTGTCCCTGCACTCACAAAACTTACAGGGCAGTAAAAGGACAATTAAATGAAGAATACAAATGACAGATCACTAAGTCTTACACAACACAGAGAGCAAGCATCATGAGAACACCAAGTAGAGAGATTTACATGACATTACACTCTCAGGACTATTACTTGTCCCCTGAATTGTACAGCCAACGGCACATTCTAATCCCACATAAACCAAACACACTTGGCATAGCCAGTGAGAAGCACTGTTCTGCCAGGACAGGGCTATAGCCATCAGACACAACAGCCTCTATTCCTCCACAGGCAACCCCAGAAAACAGCAGAGAAAGCCCAGATGTTCTTAAACTCCATGGTAAACTCATGATGTTGAAAATGGTCAGAGTGTGATCAACTCACAAATCCCCAAGTGTGTTCTCAGATCACCCACAGGAACCAAAAAGCAGTGAACTTTTCCAAATGCACAGAAACAGAAGCAGAAAACAAGTGATTTAATCAAGACACCACAGAGATTAAAGGTAAGCATCTACTTACCACATGAATGAGTTTGTCTCATCTTGATCTCTGTCTTAACCAACTATACACAATTCCTATGAACTGAGAAAAGATTTATTAGACTCCCTTGTGAAATCAGAGGTACTAGATTAACTGAATCCATAACTGCTAAACTATGAAACACAACTAAAGGCTAAACTATGAAGCTTCAGTTTTATTTCAGGCAACCTCCCGACATAAACACAATCCAGATAAAAATAAAGCTCAGCAACATACACACATCCCCCCAAAATCACACAGAACACAGACACATAGAAAGGGTGGGCCTGCTTCCTATGCACAGCACTGTCAAGCTTGCTCTGGTAAATGAAAGCCAGGAAGCTCATCCCTGAACAGGATGAAAAGGATGAATACAAGAGCAAGGAAGCCCTTCTATGAAGAGAGTTTGGAGTGTGTCTCTGTGTGTATATGCACTCACATTTTTAGTGTCTTAGGTTTGTCAAAGGAAAATAAATCTTGGGACCCCTAAATCACTAAGCTAAAGGGAAAAGCTGATCTGGGGACTGTCTAAGGACAACCTGCTTGTCACTGAGATAGATGCATAGCCGATTGCCTCCTTTGGAAAGGCTAATCAAAAACTCAAAGAATGCAAGCACTCCTGTCTCTCACCTATCTGTGACCCAGAAGCTCCTTCCAGCTTCAAGTCTCCTTTCTGCTTTGCTTCAAGTTGTCCTACCTTTCCCAACACAAGCATTATATTTCTTACATATATTGACTAATGTCTCACATCTCCCTAAAATGTATAAAACTAAGCTGTGTCCTGACCACTCTGGGCACATGTCATCAGGACTTGCTGAGGCAGTCTCAGGAGCATGCATTCTCAAACTTGGCAAAATAAATTTTCTAAATTAACTGAGACCTTTCTCAAATTTTTGGGTCTACAAATAATACCAGTAAATCAGAAGACCTGAAGGGAAAAATAAGGTAGTGTAACTTCATTATGACTGAAAAATGAATCTGGTATACATACAATAGAATATTACTTAGCAAATAAAATGAAATAAACTATTGACACAGAAACACCATGGATGAATCTCAAAATAATCACGTCAAATGAAAAAAGCCAGAAAAATGAGTTCCTACTGTATGATTCTATTTATATAAGTTAGAAAATGAAAACTAATATACAGTTACAAAAAGCGTATCAGTGGTTCCCTGTGGATCAGAGTCAGGAGGGAGACAGTACTGAAGGGTACAAAGAAACTGTTGGGATGACAAGTACAGTGGTGACAGCTCTATGCTAAATACCTATGTGAAAACATCTAACTTTACACTTCTAATATGTGCAGGTTGGGTGTCACTTGACTCCTCAATAAAGCTGTTTAAAATTTTTGATTAAAGTCAGTTCACATTGACCACCAATCGGGTTTAACTGAAACCTCACAAAATGAAGGAGATTATTTTCACTTTCAGAAGGATACCTGATCGCAGTTACATATCATGCTTTGTGGACAAGCAATTTCAGAATAAATACAGATTTCAAATACTTAAATGTCTGTATTTCTTCCCATTCATCCTTTCATGATTTTAAAGGACCTAAAGCATTTTACAAAAAATTCCATCGCTTCAAGTTTTTTAGAGAGACTGAAATTCAAGAAACATTTAACTTTTTGGAAAAGACGGGACCTTACACACCATCCTGTCCAAATTTCTTAATTTGAGGAAGTAAACTTAGCCCCTCCCCTTGTAGGGAGTTCATCCAGTCTCATGGCTTTGAAGTCAGTTCTGTGTTGCTGACACCTACCTTTGTCATTTTCATCTTGACCTCCCCACTGAACTACAGCCATTTATGCCACTGCCCACTAAACCACCTCACTTGACTATCTCATAAGTATGCAAAACCAATCGTGGCCAAGGAATCTTCTGATTCCCCTCACCACCAACTCCTCCAATTTCTTTCATCTCTGTAATTGAACGATCACACATTCAGTTCTCAACTAAAACCTAGAAATCAGCTCTTGACTAGTCACCTCCTGCCTTCCACATAGAATCCACACTTAAGTTCTTAGCTCCAGCTACTATGGCTTCTTATGCAGACAACAGCTCTGAAAGGTCCCCATTTTCTCTCCTGCATCTACCAGTCAGTCACTACACAGGAGCCACAGTCATGAGGCCATCAATCCCCAGACCTAGCACACTCTACAGACTTGCTGCCATCATTAAAGTGAAATACTAACTCCTTATTCTGCCCTAAAAGATCAAGGCTCTTTCCACCTCTCCAGCCTCATCTACCACTATTTCTTCTCTGGCTACATTCCAACATTTCATACTGACTGTCTCCAACACACTAAACTCATTTCCACCCCAAAGCCAACGCTTTCCCACCTCCATACCTGAAACACACACAGATACTTTACCATTTATATCTCAACTCAAATAACATCTTCAAAAGCTTCCCACACCTCACTATCTACAGAAGAACCCTTGGTGAGAAGCTGGTGGTGAGGGGAATCAGGAGCCCTTTGGCCACAATAAGTTTAGAAATGTATTAGGTGTTCAAGTCAATATTTAATTCACGTAACATAGACCTAATTTTACTGACTTTACGGTACTTATCACTATATAAATTATCTTGTAAAGTTCTTTACTTATTATATATGCTAATAAAATTCATTCATTCATTTATTCCTGATATGCCTATCAGAAGCATTAGCCCCAATAAGAACTGTGATCCTTTCTTACTTCACTTGAAAGCATTCGTTTCCAGGTACCTTGTACCACTAGGTACAAAGTACCCACGTGCATTTTTTTAAAGTCTATTTTGAGTCTTTAGTAATTTCTAAGTGTGATGATTGGGCTTCCACACCCAAACCTGAGTGAAGCTTTTTAGAACAACACCAGTCTGATTTTAAAAATAAAGGTCAATTTCAACTGTCCTATTCATTTTAAAAGATTCCAAATCTCCTTCCTCAAATATTTTTATCTCAGCATTTTACCTGACTGATGTTTAAATTTCAATTTCAACTGTCCTGTTAATTTTACAAGTTTTCAAATTATGCTTCTAAAGAATTGAAAATTTTTGACTGCTGACCTGCCTCATTATCATGAGATTTCTATTTGATATAATATCAACTTATCAACATACAGGAATGTTGTTGATTTTGAGATCTGACTGCCTCTCACTAAAATAGTGCCCTTTTCAATAAGAATCAGGTCAATATAAAAAGTGTTTTCTTTTAATGATTACATTGGGATATCTAATATCTTGCCTTTTGGATACTTGGCAAATAGTCACTTACATAATATACTATCTAAAAGCACCAAGTTAAACATTTTTAATTCCTTTATTTTCTTTTTTAGAATTTCAAAGCTTTCAGACACTGATACCAAAAAAATCACAATAGATTTTTTTACCTCATTGTTACACATTATAAATGATCTCATAGTAAATCATTAATCACTGAAATGTACATTTTATAAGGACAGAGATATTTATCCAGTTGGTTCATTTTATCCCCCAGCACGTATTCCTGGCACATTATCAGCTTAAAAAAATAAATGTTGTTAAATACCTGCAAGCTCCTGTTTTCCCTTATGGAGATCACCATATTACTTCCACATTTAGAGCATACTGCTAGTATGGGTAATCTCTTCTTGCTGTTTCTCAATGCTATGAAAATATTAAGCATTATCTGAACAGCAGTTCTAAATCACAAGTTCTTGACTTTCAAGTTATACAGTGATATGTGGCAAATGGGTAGCAAGTGATCAACATAGATTTTTGCATTAGGTGTGATCAACATAGATTCTCTTACCTTGTGCTGAGGAGGCAAGACTCAATATGGAGTCTGGATACACAGACTGCTCTAGGGCTAGGGAGAAAGCCACCTATAGAAGACCGTCTGTCTCTGAATATAGACTGCCAGAGTATCAAGTTTTATACGGATGCCAAGGTGAATGTTAAATAGCGCTACAGGGCTGCTAATGAACGTTGCCATAAGAAAGTCATCAGAAGCAACCATTGTGAATCCTAGAAAAGCAGCTCAGTTTTTTGTGCTGCAAGTAATTTATACTAATGAAAATTCCAATAGTCAAGTTCAAGAATAATCATTCATGAATAATCAAGGTTATTCCTAAAACATTACCGTTGCCCTCACATTTCTAAGAAAAAAGCAGCAGAGATACAACTAGTTTGCTGGGAACTACATATAACACAGTGAACAAGAGTGGGAATGTGTGTCATATAAATGCCACCTATCATGTCAAAGTAGGCTGACACTGCAGATCAGAAGCAAGCAGCTCTCTACCACCTAATACACCCTAAATATGAATCCCTGTTCCATCTTCAACCAAGGAACCTCTGGAATTTATAACCTGTTTCTTAATATGAAAATATGAATAATCCCTGTATAGATTTGTAAATAATAAAATCTATTTTAAAAAAGAAAAGTAAACATATACTTCTAATCCTTTGATTACCATGGTCTGCCTACCTGGCTGGCTGGCTGGACTGAGGAGGAGCAGGTTCAGAACCCACTGGGAAAGCTCCTATAAAAGATAAGATGACAAGTAAACAGGCCATTATTTAACAAACAAAATGGACTTTTATAAAATATGCATTATACCACTTCACACCCACCAACATGCCTATAATCAAAAAAATAGTAACGGTTGACAAGAATGTAAAGAAACTGAAACCTTCACACACTGCTGGTGAAAATGTGAAATCATGCAGTCACTTTGGAGGACAGTTCCTCAAAATGTTAGGTATAGTTATCATATGAACCAGTAATTCCACTCTTAGGTATTCACACAAAAGAACTAAAAACAGATCGACACAAAAGCTTCTAAGCAACTGTTCACAGCAGCATTTTTCTTAATTGCAAAAATGTGAAAACAACCCACAAATGTCCAACAGACAAATAAAATGTGGCATATATCCACATAATGGAATAATATTTAGCAATAGAAAAATGCATGATGATATGCAAAGATAGATAAACCTTGAAAACATGCTAATGAAAGAAGTCAGACACAAGACCACAAGTCATCTGATTGCACCTACATAAAATGTCTAGAATAGGCAAATCTATAGAGACAGAAAGTAGATGAGTGGTTGCTTAAGGCCGAGAAATTTGGGAAAAATAGGGAGTGACTGAATGGGTGCAAGATTTCTCTTTTTGATGGAAATGTTACAGATTAGACAGTGGTGATAGCTGTACAACTGAGACTATATTAAAACCATTGAACTGTACACTTTAAATGGGTGAGTCCTATGGTATGTGAATTATATCTTGATAATGCTATTAAAATATATTGTGCATTATCTTTAAATAATTATAGCTTTCAACCATCAAATGACATGTCTTATGAAGCATGGACATGTTACCTTAACAGCTACATTCCATTCCATGTGGCTCACAAAGTCCTCTCACAGCCCCCAGTCCCCACGACCAAGGGTATTCCCCAGGGCATTTCCACCAGAGCTCCCAGAGAAGATGTTTTCTCTTCCTAGGATCACAGGTGGAGCTGTGTTCAACTGGGGCTGCTCCTGTGACAAGAGAGAATAGGCTAACACTCTAAGAAAAGCAGAATGAGAGAGGGAGTGGGGCAGTGGGATAAAGAAAGAGGGGGAAAGAAGAAGGTGAGATAGGAGGAGACACAGAGAGGTAGAGCACAGTAATTATTGTTGGAGCATCTGCATCCAGCCATGCTGGCTAGTTTTAAGTGGGTCTCTGTAATTTGCTTTTAGGAGAGTCTTAATATGTTACTTCACTACAAACTCTTTCCCTACTTAACTGATAACTTTCCAAGGATATATACACAAGTAAAACTAAATCCTGGGCATTTTTTGTTTAATACAAAGATATATGAACATTAGAAACAGCACACATAGCTCAGTGGTTAAATGAAGTCACACAGACTTAGATTCAAATGCGAGTCTGAGGCTTACATAAGTGACCTTGGGTACACATAATTTAACTTACCCCCAAACCTTAGTTGCCACTTCTGTAAAATGGGAGCCCTAGGTTTGGTTTTTTTTACAGAGAGGCCACTGTCCACATTAAATAAAATAACTCATGGCAGGGTCTCAATACAGTACCTGGCATATAAAAACACAACAGTATGATCCACCATTATTATTGGTAAACTCATGATTTATCACATGTATATTTAGAGCTTAGAAAAGTATTGTTTTAAAGCAAAGATAGCATGAATAAGACTAGTAGGTAAGAGCCAGAGAAAACTATACTGTGCTTCACAAAAAAATACTTCTTATTCATTTGGAGAGCATTATTTTTAAGATGTTAGAAACTAAACCAAGTAATGAAAAAGACAGCAGCCAGAAATGAATTTTGGTTCTTAGCTAACCTTGTCTAATACATACTTTGATCAGAGATTTTTCTTCTTAGCCTTCAGTCTGCAATCACTTTTGGAAACCACTCCCCACTTGCAAATAGACAGCTTTAGACAACGATTTTTTTTTCTGTTTTGCTTCTTTATTGTATTTGGATAAAGATCCACCTAAAAATTATCTGTTTTTTATTTTTCCAAAGTGTAATGTTTTCACTATTGCTGCTTCTATAGAGGGCATTGTGAGAGATACAGATGAAACATTAAATGCCACAGTGAGTAGAAATAATGACTATAAAAAGTAATAATTATTATTTGGTAATATAACTATTTGGATTGCTAAGCTTTCTGTTTTTCTACAACACTGCATGTTTACTGCATCCACATGAGAGAATTTCCTCCATTTATCTACTACCCATAGATATCACCAACTTGGCTCAGACACAAGTCCTCTCCAAAAGTGACCCTGTGATCACCCAGTTCTGAGTTCATTCATTCATTCAACAAAGACTTAGTGAGAACCTACTATGTGCAAGGTATTGTACTGGATACCAGAGAGGCAGAGAATAAAAGAGATACCTCTTCTTTGTGTTCTCATGAGGAGCTGTTGCCTCCTCATCACAACACTGACCACACTGATTACTGATTTCCTAATTACTACTCTGAAACCCCTAGAGAGACTCTAAGCAACCTGAGGTCAGGGACCATAGCAAAGCTGATTTGCACCGTATCACATTATTTTGAATAAGTCATGAAAAAAATTGAAACAGAATGAGGTGTCAGCACAATATAGCCACAGCATAGCTATTTGCATGATCAGAGACTCATGCGGAGCAAACTCAAGAGTGTAGACACACAAACTTTACAGGTCACTGAGTCTCCCATCAGTGCTGAATATAGCCTGCCACTGTGATCTTGGCTACATCTAGAGCTCGATCCAAAGCATATGAAACCGATATAAAATTATATGAAACTGATGTAAAATATGTTTTTAATAAATATTTTTAATAGATTGTCTTTTCATTGAAAATATTTCTATATAAGGCAAGGAAGAATAACACATATATTAGCCAAATGGAATGTCTTAGATGAAATGCACCAATTACAGAAAAAACACAAACTACAACAACTCATTTAATATGAATTTAAATAGACCTGTAACTGCTAAGAAAACTGACTTTGTAATTTCAAATCTCATACACATCTCTAGGCCAGTGAGGTGCGGTGGCTCACACCTGTAATTCCAGCACTTTGGGAGGCTGAGGCAAGTGGATCACCTGAGGTCAGGAGTTCAAGACCACTCTGGCAAACATGGTGAAACCCATCTCTACTCAAAATACAAAATATTAGCTGGGCCTGGTGTTGGGTACCTGTAATCCCAGCTACTAAGGAGGCTGAGGTAGGAGAATCCCTGAACCCAGGAGGTGGAGGCTGCAATGAGCCAAGGTCTTGCCATTGCACACCAGCCTGGGCAACAAGAGCAAAACTCCATCCCCCAAAGCAAAAACAAACAAACAAACAAACAACAACAACAAAAACTCAGCCCAGATGGTTTTAAGAATTCTATCAAATTCTTTAAAAAGAATTAACATTGGTTTTATATAATTCCTCCCAGAAAATAGAAGAGGAACGAATACATCTCAATTCAATGAAGGGAGTGGTCTAGATGTAAGGAGACTAAAGAGAAATTAGAACCAAATGCAATCTGTAATTCCAAACTAGATCCTGTTGTTAAACAGAATATGATGAGATAACCAGTAAAACTTGAATGAAGTTGAAGATGTGATAATAGAAATGTATTAATTTTCTAATTTTGATGGTCATTTTGATATTACACAGAAGAATGTCCTTTTCTTAGGAAATGCCACTAAAATATTTGGAAGCAATGGGCCAACAAGTCAGCAACTTATTAGCAAATGGTTCAGGGAAAAGCAAATTTTCCTGAATTGTACTGATAACCCTCCTGTAAATGTAATCTTGTTTTAAAACAAAGAAAAAATGTTTCTTAAAAATATAAGAGGCTATCTTTATGATCTCAGGATACAGAAGATTCCTAAACTAGGTATAAAAACACTGCAAATATGAATGGTATAAATTCAGTCACATAAAATTAAGAAATTTAGAAATGAAACATTATTCAGCTTTTTCAAAGAAAAGAAATTCTGGCTTCTATGAGTCATATAACATATATGTGACAACACGGATGAACCCTGAAGATGTGTTAATTCAGATATGCCACTCACAAAAAGACAAACGCTGTAAGTTTCCACTTATATGAAGTATCTAGAATAGTGAAATTCATAGAAACAAAAGGCCAGGGGCTGGCCCTGGAGGAAATACAGTCAATTAATTAATATACAGTTTCAGTTCTGTAAAATGAAAAACTGAAGATCTAGTGCTCAGTGTTGTGAATACACTCATCACTACTGAACTACCCACTTAAAGATGGTTAAGATGGCAAATTTCATGCTTATTACCACATACATATATACACTTGTGGATAACACTTGAAGAAAGGAAATGGTTAACACAATATTGCAGAAGTCTCTCCCTTGGATGTGATCTGAAAAGGGCACACAGGGAACTTAAAAAATGTTTTCTTTAAAGTCAAGTACAAGTGGTTTTTATCATCCTCTAAAAGGATAAGCTCCTGTAAACCTACTTTTTAAAATCAACTCCCCAGGAAAGGGAGGGAAGATGAGCAAGTACAAAAGCTCTAAAAATAAATAACTCAAGGACAGAAAAGGCAAAAGGAAAGAACGATGAATTTTCTCAGTATTATTAACTTTAAAGTCTGTTTTCTAAATAATAAAAGATCAATTTCTGTACAGCAACTTAAAGTTGTAAGTGGTACTGCTCAAACTAGATGTAACTTTATGTAATTACCAATTATCTTTTTAAAATATGGAGCCAAATAATATCAATCCCTCAGCCTCCCTATATTGCTCATCAAAACAGGGGGAGTCATACAGGACAGGGGCAATCTGCAGTGGTCTGAACAAGGGGAAGCAGAAAGAGGCACTGAGGGCCAGCGTCCTGCCTTGAGAAAGCAGAAAGCAGAAGCGGAGGCTACACTGTATACGGCTTGTGCAGAGGCCTCCCAGTTCTGACTGGTATCCTGCTAAGAAAAAAAAAGTAAGGCTAAAAAATATATCCACAAGGATACCTATAGGGGTGGGGGGAGAAATTAAAATGTCTAATTCTTCTCAAGAGCTTTAAAACATGCAAATCCAATTCTGAATTTTCTACTGTCTACTGGCTATATCAGCTGGGACTCAGGTCAGATACAGACAGGTCACTGATGCTGACTGAAAATCGCCTATATTTTACTCTTATTTTTATTCACAATGCTTTAAATATAAGTTTGATTAAAATTTTTCTCATCATTCTACTCAAAATACCACAGGCTCTTTGTTCTATCAAATGAAATTACTACCCTGAAAAACACAACGGAATGCTTTCAAGATAAAATGTGCAATCTCCAAGGAAAATCTTGAGTCCTGCCCTATACCCTGAACCCCAGATTCACATCTTCAATGTTCTTCACATTTCTACTTCGCGAAGTCTAGCCAGCATCTGAAACTTAACACAGTCAACAGGAACATCTTTCACATCCACCCTTCTCATATTCCAACAGCCATTTCTCTTCCAGGCTGGTGTCAAAGGCTGTCACACTGACCTTCCACTGAGCTGTTAACACTTACACTGTCCATGAGTGGCGAAGCTAAAAGGGCACCGATTGTAACACTCCTTCTGGGGCCTCAGGGCCTGCGCAGAGGTTTTCTTCTCCTGATGTGTGTGAGGTGGGCATGGTATGTGGGTGGTGTGTGTGCCGCATATGGGTTAAGTGTGTGGGGTGTGAGAGTTGGGCATGGTGTATAATGTAGGGTATGGTGTGTGAGGTGGGTATATGTGTGCTGTGTATGGTGTGTATGGGGTATGGGTGTGGTGTGTGTGAGGTGGACATGGTTTGTGTGTGGTGTGTGTGCTGTATATGGGTTAAGTGTGTGGGGTATGTGAGGTGGGCATGATATATACGTAGTGTGTGGTGTGTGAGGTGGGGTAGATATGTTGTGTATGATGTGTGGAATGTGGTGTGTGGTACAGGTGATGTAATATTTTTGTGGAGTGTGGTGTGCTGTGTACATGGTACTTATGAAATGTTTGTTTGCTGTGTATGAAATGTGTGTGGTGTGTGTGAAATGTATACAGTGTATGCATGGTATTATGTGTTGAGTGTGGTGTGTGTGTTGTGCATATATAAGGTGTGTGTGGTGTATGTGTGCAGTGTGTGGTACATGTGAAGAGTGCATGATATGTAGTGTGTGTATTATGTTTGTGAAGTGGACATGATATGTGTGTGGTGTATAGGAGGTGTGTGTGGTGTCTGTGATGTGAGTTTAATGTGTGTGGTGTCTGGTGTATATAGGTTAAGTGCATGGTGTGTGTGAAGTGGGCATGGTATATATGTTGTGTGTGTGAGGGTTATATGCAAGTGGTGTGTGTGGGGTATGTGTGTGGTGAGGGTGGTGTATATGGGTTCAATGTGTGTGGTGTGTGAGGTGGGCATGGTGTATATGTGGTATGAAGTGTGTGATGTATGTGAAGTGGGCATAATGTGTGTGGTGACTGGTGTATATGAGTTAAGTGCATGGTGTGTATAAGGTGGGCATGGTCTATATGAGGTGTGTGCACGGTGGTTATAATATGCATGTAGTGTGTAGGGGGTATGTGTGGGAGGTGAGTATGATACATGTATGGCCTGTGTGAGGTGGGTATGATACGTGTGTGGTGTGTGTGAGGTGAGTATGATGTATGTGTTGTATATGGGTTAAGTGTGTGTTGTATATGGGTTAAGTGTGTGGTGTGTGAGGTGGGCAGGGCATATATATGGTGTGTGTGATTTGTAAAATGAATATATGTGTGTGGTGTCTGTGTGGTGTTTATAGGGTGTGTGGGGTGCGTGAGATATGATAGGTGTGTGGTGTGTATGTAGTGTATGTGTTAAGTCCAGTGTGTGAGAGGTGGGTACGCCATGTGTGTACTGTGTATGAGTTGAACATGGGTGTGGTATGTATAGTGTATATGGGTACGTGTGTGGTGTGTGTGAGGTGGGTATTTGTGTTGTGTGTGGCATGTATTGATATGTGTGTGAGGTGGGAATGATGTGTGTGAGGTGGGAATAATCTGTGTGTGATATATATGCATTAAATGTGTGGGGTGTGTGAGGTGGGCATGGTGTATATGTGGTGTGTGGTGTGAGGTGGTTGTGTTATGTGTATGGTGTGTAGGAGGTAGGTATGATATGCATGTGCTGTGTATGGGATGTGAGTGTGAGCTGGATGTAATATGTGTGGTGTGGATATGACATGTGTGGTGTGTGTTGTAATATGGTTAAGTGTGTGGTGTGTGTGAGGTGGGCATGGTATAGGTGTGGTATGAGGGGGTATAATATGTGTGTGGTGCATATGAGTTAAGTGTGTCCAGTGTGTGAGGTGGGTATGATATGTGTATGGTGTGCATGAGGTGGACATGTTATGCATGCTGTGTGCGGTGTCTATGGGTTAAGCATGTGGTATGTGTGAGGTAGGCATGGTATATATGTGATGTGTGAGGTGGGTATGTTTGTGGTGTGTGGCATGTATGCAGTATGCATATGAAATGGGTATGATACATGTGTGGTGTATGAGGTGGGTATGATATGTGTTCTGTGTGTGGTGTCTATGGGTTAAGTGTGGTGTGTGTGTGTGAGGTGAGCATGGTATATATGTGGTATGTAAGGTGGGCATGTGTGTTGTGTGTGGCATGTATGGGGTATGTGAGGTGGGTATGATATGAGCATGTGGTTTGTGTGTGATGTGGGAATGACATGTGTGGTGTATATAGGTTAAGTGTGTGGGGTGTGTGAGTTGGGCATGGTTTATAAGTGTTATATAGTGTGTGAGGTGTCTGTATGTGTGTTGTGTGTGGTGTGCATGGTGTATGTGTGTGGTGTGAGGTGGATGTGATATGTTCCTGGTGTGTCAGATAGGTATGATATATGTGTGCTGTGTGTGTGGTTACAGTTTGTGTGTGGTACATGTGGAGTATCCATACAAATTCAGTGTATGGGGTGTGTGAGGTGGAAATAGTGTATAATGTAGTGTATGGTGTGTGAGGTGGCTGTCTGTGTGTTCTGTATGGTGTGTATGTGTGTGGTGGGTGTGAGGTGAGCATTGCATGTGTGAGGTACACTTACATATGTGCACACATACATACCTGTGCACTGCAGAGGATAGGCAGGCCAGAAGCCAGGGACATGCAGCAATGACCAGCTCAGCCAAAGCAGGGCTCAGGGTGGGAGTGGCCAGGCCCCTGGCAGCTCAAGATCTTGAATTCACTGAGAACCTAGGAGGAGAGAACAAGCTGTGTCACCATCTCCACCCAAGTTCATCACTAACATGAACGTATATGCTGCACTGAAACCGTTCCACATCTGATTAGAATAAGAAACACAGACGAATCCAAGATGGCTGATTAGGAGTAGCTCAGGATTGCAGCTCCCAGCAAAAGTGTGAAGTGTGAGTTGATGCCACATTTCCAGATGGATTATTATTGCCCACAGACCAGGAGATTCCCAGGCGGAGGAGCCCCATGGGTCACCAGCACAGCTGTTTTGGCCAGTGCCCCAGTGCAGCGGTTCTCCGTACAAAATACACAGGTCCAGGCACCATTTAAGCTGATGATTGGAGCTCCAGGGAGACAGATTCACCCATTCATCTGATTAAAAGGGGGACTGAAACAGGGAGCCAGGCCTGGAGATTCCTGGGCAAAAAAGTGCCATGAATCTCAGTGCAGCTCTTTCAGCCAGCGCAGTGGGTCACCGCACAGGAAATCACACGGATCCCAGTGCCTTTTCAACAGTCTACTGGAACACCTGGGAGACAGTCGAATGTTCAACTAAAAAGAAAAAAAAAAAGGCTCTGAGGCAGAGAGCCAGGTGATCAGGCTAGGCTGGTCCCAATCCCCCAAAAAACAGCAACCTGAAAGATTCTGGATTGAGAGTCTCACAGCAAGCACAGCTGAACCTGGGACAGTCCAGCTCTGTGCAGGAGAGGTGTCTGCCATTACCAACACACTCCACCACTACGGAGGTGGTCTGCCATTTCTGAGGAAGCCCGCCATTACAGAGAGAGTCCACAATTACAGAGGTGAACCGCCATTGCTGAGGCAGTTCTAACTATACCTGTATAAACAGGACTGCAGGGAATTTCACATGGCAGCTGGGTGGAGCCCACAACAGCTTAGCAAACCTCTGCAGGCAGACAGTGACTAGGCTGCCTCCTCACTGGGCTGGGCAGCCCTGAAAAAACACAGCAGCACAAGAGAAACTCATAAATAAAGCCCTAACTCCTCGGACAGAGCACCTGGGGAAAAAAAAGTGGGGGGGGGGGCGGGTTATGAGTTCTGCTGCAACAGACTTAAATGTACCTGCCCAGCAGCTCTGAATGAACAACGAAGCTCACAGCTCAGCACTTGAGCTTCTATGAAGGACACACTGTCTCCTCAAGCAGCTCCCCTGACCCCTTTATATCCAAAGAGTAACCTCATAAAGGATAGCTCAGATTGACATCAGGCAGGTATTCTTCAGGGACAAAGATAGCAGAAGAAACTGGCAGCAACCCTTACTGTTCTGCAGCTGCTGCAGTTGATCCCCAGGCAAGCAGGGTCTGGAGTGGACCTCAGCATTCCTACAGCAGATGGGCCGGACTGGTAGAAGGAAAACTAAGAAACAGAAAGAAATAACTTCAACACCAACATACTGAATGTCCAATCAGAGACCCAATCTGAAAGTCAGTGACTACAAAGACAACAGGTAGGTATATCCACAAAGATGGGAAGAAACCAGTGCAAAAAGAATGAAAACACCCAAAAGCAAACACCTCTCCTCCTACAAGGGATCAAAACTCCTCACCAGCAAGGGAACGAGACTGGATGGAGAATGAGTGTGATGAATTGACAGAATCAGGCTTCAGAAGGTGGGTAATAAGAAACTTCTGTGAGCTAAAAGAATATGTTATGTTGTGACCCAATGCAAAGAAACTAAGAACCTTGAAAAAAGATTTGATGAAATGCTAATGAAAATAAATAACTTAGAAAGAAATATAAGTGAATTGATGGAGCTAGAAAACACAACATGAGAACTTTGTGAATCATACACAAGTTTCAACAGCCGAATTGACCAAGCAGAAGAAAGGATATCAGAGGTCGAAGATCAACTCTATCAAGTAAAGCGAGAAGGCTAGAATAGAGAAAAAAGGGTAAAAAGAATGAACAAAGTCTCCAAGAAATATGGGACTATGTGGAAAGACCAAATCTACGTTTGATAGGTGTACCTGAATGTGATGGAAAGAATGAAACCAAGCTGGAAAATACTCTTCAGGATATCATCCAGGAAAACTTCCCCAACCTAGCAAGCCAGGCCAATATTCATGTCCAGGAAATATAGAGAACCCCTCAATGATATTCAGCAAGAAGAGCAACCCCAAGGCCCATAATCATCAGATTCACCAGGGTTGAAATTAAGGAGAAAATGCTAAGGGCAGCCAGAGAGAAAGGTCAGGTTACCACAAAGGGAAGCCCATCAGACTCACAGCAGATCTCTCAGCAGAACCCCTACAGGCCAAAAGAGAGAGGGGGCCAATATTCAACATACTTAAACAAAAGAATTTTCGACCCCAAATTTCATATCCAGCCAAACTAAGCTTCATAAGTCAAGGAAAAATAAATCCTTTGCGAACAAGCAAGTACTCAGAGATTTCATCACCACCAGACCTGCTTTACAAGAACTCCTGAAAGAGGCACTAAACATAGAAAGAAATAACCAGTACCAGCCACTCCAAAAACATACCAAATGCTAAAGAGCATCAACACAGTGAAGAAACTGCATTAACTAGTGGGCAAACAGCTGGCTAGCATCAAAATGGCAGGATCAAATTCACACATAACAATATTAACCCTAAATGTAAATGGGCTAAATGCCCCAATCAAAAGACACAGACTAACAAATTAAATAAAAAGCCAAGCCAAAACCCATCTCACATGCAAGGATACAAAAACCTCAAAATAAAGGGATGGAGGAAGATTTACCAAGCAAATGGAGAGCAAAAAAGAAAAAGCAAGAGTTGCAATTCTCATCTCTGATAAGATAGACTTTAAACCAACAAAGATCAAAAAAGACAAAGAAGGACAATATGTAATGGTAAAAGGATCAATGCAACAAGAAGAGCTAACAATCCTAAATATATATGCACCCAATACAGGAACACCCAGATACATAAGGTAAGTTCTTAATGACTTACAAAGAGACTTAGACTCCCACACAATAATAGTGGGAGAGTTTAACATCCCATTGTCAATATTAGACAGATCAACAAGACAAAAAATTAACAAGCATATCCAGGACTTGAACTCAGACCTGGAACAAGCCAACCTAATAGACATTTACAGAACTCTGCACCCCAAATCCACAGAATAGACATTCTTCTCAGCACCACATCACATCTACTCTAAAATTGATCACATAACAACTGGAAGTAAATCACTCCTCAGCAAATGCAAAACAACAGAAATCATAACGGACAGTCTCTCAGACCACAGTGCAATCAAATTCGAATTCAGAATTCAGAAACTAAGAACCATACAGCTTCACAGAAACTGAACAACTGGCTCTTAAATATTGACGGGATAAACAATGAAATGAATGCAGAAATAAAGATGTTCTTTGAAACTAACAAGAACGAAATCAAAATATACCAGAATCACTAGGACAAATTTAAAGCAGTCTCTAGAGAAAAATATATAGCAATAAATGCCCACACGAGAAGCAAGGAGAGATCCAAAATTGACACCCTATCATCATAATTGAAAGAGCTAGGGGAGCAAGATCAAAAAAACTCAAAACCTAGCTGAAGACAAGAAATAACTAAGATCAGAGCAGAGCCGAAGGAGAGAGAGACACAAAAAACCCTTAAAAAAAATTAATAAATCCAGGAGCTGGTGTTTAGAAAATATCAACAAAATAGACAGACCACTGGCCAGGTTAATAAAAAAGAAAAAAGTGAATAATCAAATCGATGCAATATACAATGATAAAGGGGATATCACCACAGAAATTCAAGCCATCATCAGAAATTACTACAAACAACTCTATGCACATAAACTAGTAAACCTGGAAAGAATGAATAAATTCCTGGACACCTGCATCCTCCCAGGCCTAAACCAGGAAGAAGTCAAAACCCTGAAAAGACCAACAACAAGGTCTGAAGTTGAGGCAGCAATTAAGACCCTACCACCCAAAAAAAGCCCAGGTCCAGATGGGTTCACAGCCGAATTCTACCAGACATACAAAGAGGAGCTGGTACCATTCCTTCTAAAACTATTTCAAACAATCAAAAAGAGGGAATCCTTCCCAAATCATTTTATGAGACCAAAGTCATCCTGATACCAAAACACTGCAGAGACTCAGCAAGAAAAGAAAACTTCAGGCCAATATTCATGATGAACATAGATGCAAAAATCTTCAATACAATAACTGGCAAGCTGATTGCAAGAGCGCATCAAAAAGCTTATCCACCATGATCAAGTAGGATTCATCCCGGGGATGCAAGGCTGGTTCAACATACACAAGTCTATAAATGTAATTTACCACAGAAAGAGAACAAAAGACAAAAACCACATAATTATCTCAATTGATGCAGAGAAGGCCTTTGACAAAATTCAATGACTCTTTATGCTAAAAAAGCCCTCAATAAACTAGGTATTGACTAAACATATCTCAAAACAATAAACCCTATTTATGACAAACCAACAGCTAATATGATATGGAATGGGCAAAAATTAGAAGCATTCCCTTTGAAATCTGGCACTAGACAAGGATGCCCTCTCTCACCACTCGTATTCAACATAGTACTGGAAGTTCTACCCAGAGCAACCAGGCAAGGAAAAAAAAAAAAATAAAGTGTAGTCAAATAGAAAAAAACGAAGTCAAATTGTCTCTATTTTCAGATGAAATAGTTGTATATCTAAAAGACCCCATCGTCTCAGTCCAAAATCTCCTGAAACTGATAAACAACTTCAGCAAAGTCTCAGGATATAAAATCAATGTACAAAAATCACAAGCATTCCTATACACCAGTAACAGACTTAGCAAGAGCCAAATCAAGAACGAACTGCCATTCACAATTGCTACAAAGAAAATAAAATACCTAGGAATACAACTAACAAGGAACGTAAAGGACCTCTTCAAGGAGAACTACAAGCCACTGCTCAACAAAATAAGAGAGGACACAAACAGATGGAGAAACATTCCATGTTTATGGTTAGAAAGAATCAATATCATGAAAATGGCCATACTGCCAAAAGTAATTTACAGATTTAATGCTATCTCTATCAAGCTACCAATGACCTTCTTCACAGAACTGGAAAAAAACACCTTATATAAATAAATTAAAAGGTGTTCATATGGAACAAAAAGAGAGCTCGCATAGCCAAGTCAATTCAAAGCAAAAAGAACAAAGCAGGAGGCATCACAAGTTCAAACTATATTACAAGGCTACAGTAATCAAAACAGCATGGTACTGGTACCAAAACAGAGATATAGATCAATGGAGCAGAGCAGAGGCCTTGGAGGCGACACAACATTATCTACAACCATCCAATCTTTGACAAACCTGACAAAACAAGCAATGGGAAAAGGAGTCTTTGTTTAGTAAATGGTGTTAAGAAAACTGGCTAGCCATGTGCAGAAAGCAGAAACTGGATCCCTTCCTGACACCTTACACTAAAATTAACTCCAGATGGATTAAAGACTTAAACATAAGACCTAACATTATAAAAACCCTTGAAGAAAACCTAGGCAAAACCATTCAGGACATACTTGTAGGCAAGGACTTCATGAACAAAACACCAAAAGCATTGACAACAAAAGCCAAAATAGACAAATGGGACCTAATCAAACTCCACAGCTTCTGCACAGCAAAAGAAATGTCATTAGAGTGAATTGGCAACCAACAGAATGGGAAAAAATTTTTGCAATCTACCCATCTGACAGAGGGCTGATATCCAGACACTACAAAGCACTAAAACAGATTTACAAGAAAAATACGAACAAGCCCATTCAAAAGTGTGCAAAGGATATGAACAGACACTTTACAAAAGAAGACACACATGAGGCCAACAAACATATAAAAAAATGCTCATCATCTCTGGTCATTAGAGAAATGCAAATCAAAGCTACATTGAGATACTGTCTCATGCCAGTTAGAATGGTGATCATTAAAAAACCTGGAGACAACAGATGCTGGAGAGAATGTGGAGAAATAGGAACACTTTTACACTGTTGCTGGGAGTGTCAATTAGTTCAACCATTGTGGAAGACAATGTGGTGATTTCTCAAGGACCTAGAAATAGAAAATCCATTTGACCCAGCAATCCCATTACTGGGTATATATCCAAAGGATTATAAATCATTTTACTATAAGGACACATGCACACGAATGTACACTGCAGCACTGTTTACAATAGCAAAAGACCTGGAACCAACACAAATGCCCATCGATGATAGACTGTACAGGGAAAATGTGGCACATATACACCATGGAATACTATGCAGCCATAAAAAACGATGAGTTTATGTCCTTTGTAGGGACATAAATGAACCTAGAAACCATCATTCACAGCAAACTGACACAAGAATAGAAAATCAAACACCACATGTTCTCACTCACAGGTGGGTGTTGAACAACGAGAATACATGGACACAGGGAGGGGAACATCACCCACTGGGGTCTGTAGGGGGGAAATAGGGGAGGGCCGGGGGGGTGGGGAGTTGGGGAGAGATAGCATGGGGAGAAATGCCAGATATCGGTGATGGGGAGGAAGGCAGCACATCACACTTCCAAGTGTATACCTATGCAACAATTTTGCATGTTCTTCACATGTACCCCCAAACATAAAATACAATAAAAAAACTAAAATTATAATTAAAATAAATAAATAAAAAGAAGGTTGGGCCAGGTGCGGTGGCTCACACTTATAATCCCAGCATTTTGGGAGGCTGAGGCCAGTGGATCACGAGGTCAAGAGATCAAGACCATCCTTGCCAAAATGATGAAACCCCGTCTCTACTGAAAATACAAAAATGAGCCAGACATTGTGGTGCATGCCTGTAGTCTCAGCTACTTGGGAGGCTAAGGCAGGAGAATTGCTCAAATATGGAAGGCAGAGGTTGCAGTGAGCCAAGATTGTGCCACTGCGCTCCAGCCTGGTGACACAGCGATGCTCCATCTCAAAAAAAAACAAAAAAAAAAACACCATTTGCAGGACTGGATATGAAAAGGAAAAAAAATGTACAAGATTAAATGCGTGCTGTAGAAGAACCACACCTGTTCATCTGCTGAGCACACCGTGATTCCTAACTCAGCAAAAGGCCCCCCGCTCTGGGAAAACCTGAAAGCGAACTGCTGTTTCCAAAATGCATTTTTACGGTTGGAAATCTGTGTTTCCCAAGCCCTCCTTCCAGTCCTTGGCACTGTGACAAACATTTCTCACCCCTGGGGACGTGGGGCTGGAGATGCAAAAGTGAAAGTCACCAAGGCTGAGTTTCAGCTGCCTGCATCCTTGCAGCCAGGGCCAGAGGGCCGTGAGGGATTCCCTAGCTCCCACCGTCTACGCTGGACTCACAGGGCACGGCTCTGCCGCAGTGGCCCGGCTTACCTCCATGAAGTGATTGCTCAGGGTGGGCCCTGAGTCATTCTCGAATATCTGGCTGACACGGAGATGCCTCTTGTTGCTGCTCTCATCCCAGTGCTTCCTATAGCTCACCTCTAGTTCAAGCGATTCTCCTGCCTCAGCCTCCAGAGAAGCAGGGATTACAAGTAGCCGCCACTACGCCTGGCTAATTTTTGTATTTTAATAGAGATAGGCTTTCACCATGTTGGCCAGGCTGGTCTTTAACTCCTGACCTCGTGATCCACCTGCCTCAGCCTCTGAAAGTGCTGGAATTACAAGCATGAGCCACTGCGACTGGCCTTTTTTTCTTTAACTTATTTATTTTAGAGATAAGATCTCACTCTGCTGCCCAGGCTGGAGTACAGTGGCACATTCTTGGCTCATTGCAACCTCTGCCTCCTGGATGAATAGAAATAAGACTGAGGCTGAAGTGCCAGCCCTGGATTTATTCCTAAATGGCTCTGCTATTGGGAGCAAGTTCATCTCTTTGGGGTTGAGCTTGGGGTATTCAGATCACCACTTGCCAGACTCTGGCGCACTCTCTGGACATCCCACCTCACCTGGGAACCCACTTTGTAGCTGAAGGCCAAGATCTGTGTGCAGTGGAGCTCGTGGCCCAGCTCCAGCCTGTAGGCACCGTCTAAGCCGTTCTCTGTCTGCAGCCTCTGGCCAGTGCTGCACTGGTGTGTTGGCTGTTTTGCCTGGGCTGTGAGGATCAATCAAGGGACCCCTGCCCTCCTCTGCCAGGCAGCCCCTTTAACAGGGCTCCAAGAGGAGGAGGGCCCAGCCCAGCCTGGCCTCAGTCATGTTTCCCCCACCCTGTGGTCTGCTTCACCTGTCACTCCATTAGAACCTGTTCATAGGGAGGTCTTAAGAGATGGATAAATTCCCCTCAACAGACATTTTTTTTTAATGAGCAGGTACTAAGTCCTACTCAGAGCCCACAGAATGGCTAATGAAAAATCCTGTGTTGACAGCGTATCTTAGCTCGCAGAGCCACAGCCACAGGAACCAGGGCAGGCCCTGCCACCTCAACCTGCCCCACAGCCAGGCACACAGTGCTTTACCCAGGAGGCTGTACTGGATCCTCAGGGAGTTGGTCCACAGCTGGCCCCACTGCTGCAGCAAGCCAAGGGCACACAGCCCCACCAGCCCTGGCATGAAGAGTTTGGCACGCAGGGTGGCCACCCAGCATTCATCCTCCTTCCTTTCCAGCAGTGCTGCAGGGACAGAGAGCAGGCAGGTGAAAGCATTAGCCCCAGGGACCAAAATTCCCAGCCCCAGGCAAAGAGGGAACTCAGGAAATACTCCAGGGGCCTTGGGGTTGGGGGCTCCTTGAAGAGTCAACACCTGTGCCCTGCACAACAGCCCACAGACAGGTCTAATCATGGCTCACTGCAGCCTTGACCTCCCAGGCTCAATTGATCTTCCACCTCAGCCTCCCAAGTAGCTAAAACTACAGACATGTGCCACCACATTGGCTGATTTGTGTGTGTGTGTGTGTGTGTGTATATATATATGTGTGTGTATGTACATACACACACACACATACATACATACATCATACATACATATACACATATTTTTTGTAGAAACAGGAGTCTCACTATGTTTCCCAGGCTGGTCTTGAACTCTGGGCTCAGGCAATCCTCCTGCCTTGTCTTCCCAAAATGCTGGGATTATAGGCATGGGATACCATGCTTGGTCCAAGGATAAAGTAGAATGAGGCCAGGCGCAGTGGCTCATGCCTGTAATCCCAGCACTTTGGGAGGCCAAGGCAGGCAGACTTCCTAAGGTCAGCAGAGATCAGCCTGGCCAACACAGTGAAACAGCGTCTCTACTAGAAATGCGAAAAAGAAAAGTTAACCATGTATGGCGGCAGGCACCTTTAATCCCAGTTACTCTGGAGGCAGAGGCAGGAGAATCGCTTGAACCCAGGAGGCAGAGGCTGCGGTGAGTCAAGATTGCACCATTGCATTGAGTCCCAACAACACTGTGAGACTCTGTCTCAAAAAAAAAAAAAAATGTACAATGAAACAAAATCAAATAGGACAGATGACAAAAGAATTAACCACACATCATGGGTCGCTGGGTAAATTTCACCTTCTGAAGCTTCTTCTTCTGCAACACTGAAGGTCATCCAGAACTCACAGGTGGAAATGGGCCAGCTGTTATGACTTCCAAACACCCACATGAGGTGGTCAACAGCCACCGCTCCAAGTTCCCCCAGCCCCAGCTCCTGTCCTTACCTTGGAATCTTTCAGAACACATAAGTGGCACACCCAGGTGCCACCACCTTGGGCTCTGGCACAGTGCCAACATCTGCTCAGCCTGTGTGTGTGTTTTAAATGCCCCATGTATTTTAGGTCAAAATGTTACATGTGCTTCTTATCGTGGGTGAGAATAAAAACTGTCCTAAAGCTGCTATTTTAAGGTTTGTGGGGGAGGTTGGAGGTTGGGGGAGGTTCTGGGGGCTCACACTGAGCCTGCATCTGTCCTTAGATGGGATGTTGATATTAAGAGGCAAGAGTGATGAGAACCATCAGGAGGCATTTGGCCCGCACCCTAGCCTGGCCATGTAGGAGACAGGGCACAAGGGGTCTCATCGCCTACCTGTCAGGTGGGCTTGGTCATTCAGGAGATGGCTCAGCGATGCAGAGAGGCCAGCTTGCTGTGCACCTGCTGCATGAGGTTCCCTGTAAAAATGACAGGGCTGGCCCCATCACCAGTTTCATCTCCAACTGCACTTGGAACTGCTTGGCCTTGCCAACAATGGGTGGCTGCAGGTCACTATAGCCCTGAAAGGCCTTGGTGTCACCTGGAATGGCAGGCTTGGCCAGCAAGACCAGCCATGATCATACAAGCTGGGACCAGAGAGATGGCAGGAGACAGCCAAGCTAATGGCTTTGTATGCCAATCCTTCCCAGTTTTTTATTTTTCTTAAGATGGAGTCTCATTCTGTTACCCAGGCTGGAGTGCAGTGGTGGGATCCTGGTTCAATGCAACCTTTGTCTCCCGGGTTCAGGTGATTCTCCTGCCTCAGCCTCCCAAGTAGCTGAAATGACAGGCACACACCACAGTGCCCAGCTAATTTTTCTATTTTTAGTAAAGACAGGGTTTTGCCATGTTGGCCAGTCTGGTCTCAAACTCCTGAGCCCAAGTGATTTTCCCGCCTTGGCCCCCAAAGTGCTGGAATTACAGGCGTGAGCCACTGTGCCTAGTCCTTCGTCAATTTTTTAACTGCAGATTTCTCAAAATTAGGAACCTGTGTTACAAACTCAGACATATATACAAAGGACTTCTTTTCTCCTTGACAACCCCCCTCATTGGATCTATCAAAAACTCAGTTGACCGTCGCTATGTGACTAGAACCAACCCCATCTCTCACCTCTGCTGCACACCAGCTCCAGCCCTGGTCATTCCAACTATCTCACTGCAACATCCTCCTGGCTCTCCTGGCTCCCATCCTGCCACTGACAACGGATCTCCACGTGGTGACCAGACACGTCCAACCATGGCACACTAGCATTTCTTACAGTACAACCCAAAGTCCTGAGGCCAGTGAAGCCAGAACTTTGTTGGTCATTGGTGCAGACACTGGCAGGGGGGCCATGGGGACAGTTCACTACACTCCAAGGCCCCACATGGGAGATCCTCTAGAAAAGCCATGAGCAACTACAAATATCATCTTTGATGGCCCCGCCAGACGGTGAACAAACCCCACCCATCCCTCTCATAGCCACTAGCTAGTCAGTTCACCAAAAGTATGTCAAAACAATACTATTACCAGACCCTCACCTACTTAACGCTGTGTTTCCCTGATCCCCACCGACATGTGTGCAGACGTGTGTATGAATGTGTATGCATCTGTGTACAGATGTATCTGTACATGAATGTGTGTAGATGTGTATGTATACAGAAATACCAAAATACACAAATATGTGTGTATGAATGTGTGGATATGAATGTGTATGTACAGTGATGTGTACATGGTAGTGTCTATATTTAGATATGTGTATGAATGTGTGGGTATACAGACGTGTGTGGATGTATAAAGATGTGTATATATACGGATGTGTGTATATGAATGTATGTGTACAAATATGTCTACATGTGGATGTAGATGCTCACAGATTTTCCTGCTGACAGGCATATCCTAGTGCTGGCTTTCTCCAGTGTGTATCAGAGACTGCGTGGTGGTGTCAGAGCTTCCTCAGGGTGCACGTGAACAAGAGCACAGAATTTCTCTCCCAAACCACTACATTTTGCAGATTAAAGAGAACACTAGTCACAAATGTCAGCAGGCATAAACTGGGGCTCTGCAGGCAAACCAGGACCCAACCTTGACCCACACGGGGACGGGGTGCCAAACAGAACACTTCCCAGACCAACCTTAAATCCCACAAACTTTAAGGCTGAATTCAAGCCTCGAACCCCTGGGCCCAGAAATTCGAGGTTGAACCCAAGCTCTGGCACTTTGTATTCAAGAACTCATCTGCCTCAGTTTCCTTATCTTATATGGGGTTACAAAGAGGACTTGAAGAAGGGACCTCCTGCCTGCTGGAACATGCCCCAGAAAGTTAGAGTGCCAGCTGTTACTGTAATTTTGATGAGTCTGGGGCAGATGGAAGTAGAATTTCTCCAAATGCAAATAAACATTTCCAGACTTCAGACAGCTCTATAGGGAGTGGAAGGAAGGTCCAAGGGAAGGTACAGGCAATCTGCGCTTGCACATTTAGCAAATAACAAGACATTCAAGGGCCCCTGGGGGTTCTGGAAATGAGGCAGAGTCTCAGCCATCAGACAGGTGGGGCTTTAGCAGGAAGACGGCTCTCCCCTGACATGAGTCTTCACCCAGGCTGATGGCACAGGTGGAAGTGGAGAGAGTATTTATGCAGCAAGACATCCAGCCTGGCTTCAGACTCTCCACTCCAGGCCTCTGAGAAGACACTGGAAACTGAGGCAAAATTGGGCGATCCACTGCTGAACGTGCCCAGTGGTCATGCCTGGTGGGATCAAGTCTAAAGCTGCTATTTGTACCTGGCTGGAGTACAGTGGCACGATCTCGACTCACTGCAACCTCCACTTTCCAGATTCAAGCAATTAACCTGCCTCAGCCTCCTGAGAAGCTTGGCCTACAGTCGTGCACCATGCCCAGTTAAGTTTTGTATTTTTGGTAGAGACAGGGTTTCTCCTTCTTGGTCAGCCTAATCCCAAATTCCTGACTTCATGTGATCCTCCTGCCTCAGCCTCCCAACATTTGTTTACCTTTTGAAGTCACCAATCTGCGTGAAAAGGGGGTAGAAGTTTTAAATCTTCTCCCCAGGATAAAGGAGACAGACACGAAACTTCAACACAATGACAAGGGCTTCAAGTGACTTTCTAAGTTCCATCCAGGTACCCTTGGGTACAATCCCTTGAAAAGCAACTACTAAGATAAAAATGAGCCTGGACAACATAGTAAGACCCATCTTCACAAAAAAGAAAATAAATAATAGAAAGGCATGGAGGCACAGGTCTTAGTCCCAGCTACGTGGGAGGCTGAGGCAAGAGGATCACTTGGGCCCAGGGGTTCAAGGCTGCAGTGATTTAGGATCATGCCATTGCATAGAAGACCTTGTAAAAGAAAGAGAAAAGTGGGGGAGAGAGAAAAGGAGGCGAAGAGAGGGGGAAAAGACATGGGGGAAAGGGAGGGAAAGAGGTACGAAGAGAAAAAGAGAGGAATAGAGAGAGGAGGGAAAGGAAAGAAGAGAAAAGAAAAGAAAAAAGAAAGGAAGAAAAGAGAAAAGAGAAAAACATATAAACTTTGTGGCCAGGGAATTCCACTGTTATGAATTTACTCTGGAGAGAGAATTGTGTTCACCACAGAATAATTATAGCAGAAAACCTGGGAAAAACTCAAGAGTACTTCATTAAGAAACTACATGAATACATTTCATTCCATGGACTGTTACACGATCATTTGCACTACACGGGAGACTCTGATTTTTTTAGGTGGATATATTAACTCCACGTGCTGATTGTGTGCATAGATTATCTTGGAAAGGAATCACCAAAAAACCCTAACAGCGATTGGCTTTGAGGAGGCGTGAGAGAGTGGCTTTAAGGCTGCACCAACACCAACCAATAGAACTTTTTTGCAATAAGGACCATATTTCTGGGCCATCTGCAGCTGTGAAGCACCTGAAATGTGGCCCACGCAAACAAAGAACCAAATCCT